TTACATACTCAGTCCCTAAGTCTGTATAATCATTGGCTGGCTGTGATTTTTAGAGCTCTGTTGGTTAAAGCACAGAGCTAATGGAGTTTAAGTCATGGGCTCAGTCTCATTAAGGGCCAATTATTTTGCTCTGTTCTGGTTCTCTGGCCCTGACCCCAACTTGCTGTGGTGCGTCTTTATGACCTTGGTCACAACAGCGGCCTGGCCGGAGAGGTAACAGACTAGTACACACCACTACAGCTACTACAGAAGCAAGCACAAGCCCTGGGAATGGAGGGCAAGGTGTGTCTTCTGTTATACAATGGAAAGAGCTTTGTTTTCACTGTTTCTTTTTTCTTTTTTTAAGAATGAGGTACACATGGAAGGTGAATGGTGCTGTTTGGGAATACTGCATGTTAGACCATTAACTGAATATACCAATGACCTTTGCAGACTGGGACATACAACAAGGCAGCTTGTCTGGCTATGACTCACTTAAAACATAGGACACTAAAGAGATACCCTATTTGCTAAAACTGATCGTATCTTTCTCCTGGTAAATAAGCATGGCCTAACACTAGTTTATTGTGTTCTGATGGTAGCATATTTTCAAATTTAAATGTAATCTATGAATGCTCCTTCTATGACTTACCTATAAGATTCAGCCATAAAGCTAACACAGATAATAGCACAATTTAAAATGGAAAAACAATGAGGTATTTTGTTGCTAGAGATGATAAAGCTTTTTATAGAAATCTTGTGAAAAATTTAATGAAGTTAAATCTACATATAAACAGCGAGAACATGTTCTTGTGATTAGAGATGGTTAGTGATGTATTAATTCCAAAAGGTGAATATTCATCAAAGTACTACTGGATCACTGGGCAGAGAAGGAGAGAAGATGGTAGAGAGGTGAGAGAGATATTTTCCTTTGATAGTTTAAGAGATGGGTGGCAGTTTAGGTTACACTTTTCTTGAGGTAAATCCTTTAATTGAAATCAAACCATGAAGATATAATTGACTATAGTTATAGACTGTAAGTGGATTTTTCTCCCCTTTTTCTCAGTACTTGGGAGTGAACCTAGGGCCTTTGTACTGAGCTAGGTCCCCAACCCTTTTCTTTTTTAATTTTGGGACAAGTTCTAAGTATCTAAATTGCCAGGGCTGGGCTCAAACATTCAATTCTTCTGCTTTAGCCTCCCAGAATGCTGGGATTACAAATGTGTGCCACCACACCCAGTGTTTGGTTACTTACCATCAAACCAACCATTTCTCTCTCTCTCTCTGTCTCTCTGTCTCTCTGTCTCTCTGTCTCTCTCTCACACACACACACACCCTCCCCCCCACACACCCAGAGTCATTTTCTTCGAAGAATGTAAGCTCCACGAAAGGATTCTGCTATATTCACGATGCCTAGAAAAATGTGGGGTACAACAAATAAATATTTAAATGGAGTCTTGTTCTAAGGCAGATTTAAATATGCAAACATGTTCTCTGACCATATTTCAATGGGAGTCAGGGCCACTTTATATTAATTGATGTCTTCAAATCAGGATTTGCTTCAGGGACAATTTTGTAAAAAGCAAATTTAAAATACCAGCTCCTGGAGAGGCAACGTGATCTAAGGAACAGAGGCAGGATTAGGGTGCAATTGGTCACCCCCTTTGATGAAAGTAGAAGGTGCAGGGCATGTGGCAGTGAGCAAATCTCCTTCTAATTCTGTAGGCCTCAGTGGCAAATGAGAATTGTCCTCCAGTTAGAATGCACTGCAAAGTAAATGTTTTGCTTCGAGTTTTCTTTCACAAACACTGTGGCTCGTGGGAGATAGAGACATTACTACATTCCTCGGCTAAGAAGTAGCTCTCTAAAAAATAATTTTTGATTTTAAACTTTGAGCTTCTCTCCCTGCGACGAAGTTAAAAACACATTCTATTAAATTATAAGAGATAGTTATGGTTTAATACCTCAGTGTTTGGGTTCTCAATTAGATTTTGGGGTTCTACCACTAAAATGAGGCAAGCCACTCAGTTTCCTCAAAATAGTTCCTGCCTCACAGGATGGGCAGGAGGATGAAATAATAACTTAGCACAGGGCCTGGCCACAGTCAACACTTGGTAAATATTATTTTTAAACTATTTCCATTTCCCCATTTGTCCTTTTCATCTTCAATGTATTTGTGTATGTGACACACATGTAGGGCATATACACTTATTAGCATAGATCAAGCTCAGACCTCTTGTATTACCCATGGGTGTGTACAATTTTCACATTTGTGTTCTTTCTGTCAGTCTCAGAGGTGTGGAATGATCTGGAGAGTGACAGAAATAGTATTCAATGCTGAGAATCCTAGCTTGGGGTTGCATTCTTTCCACATTTCTTCTATTAAACATTATTTGATTTCAATAATTTTATATAGAGCCATTACCTCTAAGTATAATGGACTGTTCCATAGGCTTCTTTGGATTTCATTAAATTATATTACCGTAATGTGGCTTATTTTCCTGATTTCTGATTTCTTCATTAATTAGGGAGTTTATTCACTTAAAGGAGTCTGTTTGATAATGAAAGCCTAGTAAGCTTCTAAGCAATCAAAAGAAACTGCTATATGAAACAGACAAATCCTTAACATTGTACCTTTAAAAATTTCAGACACTTATTTCAATAATATATAATCTAATATTAGAGTTCTTGAGCAAGGATTCAAGCTGTTTATACCCCATCACTGACTCACAGTAAGATCTTGGGCAAGTCACTTGACCTTCTTATGTTTCAGTGTGTCAAACTAGCCATGAAACTGTGTGAAGCATGACCTCATTATAAACCACCAGACTTGAAAGCTAAGATGTGTTTTGATATGTTAACGAATCGCCAAACGGGAACCCTTGTTTGTAAAACATGAAGAATCTCAAAAAGAAAATTTTACTATAGTAATTAAAATAATTCTAGAATGTACAGTTTTTAGCAACTAAAGTCATGAAATAGTTTCAAAGTATTTTATTTGGGCAAAGTAAGATTAAATGACAGAAGAAAACTTGTTTCTTAAGAGAATGATTGGTTTTAAAAACCATAGGTAGTAGTAATTGAACCAAAATAATTATAAGAAAGACTGCTGCAAACGGCTGGATTTTTCAATAATGAAACGTATTTCATTTCTAAGCCATTATTTCCCTCTTACACAGTGCATGCTATGTTTTTTATTTTTTTACTTTTGGTACCGGGAATCAAACTCAGGACCTGGCACTTGCCAGGCCGGTGCTGTGCCATAAGCCATATCCCTGGCACTGCATACTATGTTTTAAAAAGCGTTTAGCTAACCACTCTATGAAAAGCTTGACAGAAAGAGTACAAACTCATTTAGGAACGAAGCAGTTTTAATAATGAGTTTGGCCCTTTAGACTTGTGAGTATCCTTTAAGTTGACCTTGTATGAGTCCCTTCTTTTCTCTAGAGCACAGAAATACTATTTCGTGGGGGTGGGTTTGAGGATACTGTCTTTCCAATATGCAGAGAGAAGGCAACATCATTCCCCGGCTTGCTCCTGCAGCCCATCTCTAAATTAACAGGAGGCTCACCCTTCTTGTGGCATTCCAGAAGGAACATCAGTACGCACAGTTCCGCAGATGCTGACATCTCGTCTGAGGTTATCCCAAAAAGTCCTATGGCATTTGTAAAGTTCCTGGACATTTTCTATTCTTTTAAAACATCTTTCTGCAGACTTTGTCAAAGCCAGAACACAGCAAAGCCCTTTCTGGCACAGCATATTAATCACATACTTTGCCACAGTCTCTGACAGAATAATCAAATGATAACCTGCAACTTGCCTTGGCCCTGTAAACAAAAGATCAAGTTCTGTGTTCTCTCTTGGCAAGAAAAGAAACTGCAGCATTTTGTCAAGATCTTTTCAAGTCCCGGGGGCTTCAAATCAAAAACTGAAAGTGTTCTTTTTCTAATTTACAGAAAAATGAAGAACAGTAGTAAAGTTAAATATTAAAATAGTATTCTAAAAGTAATATAATTAAGATGGTAGGTTAAAAATACAGTCTAGCTCCATACCAGAGGCAACTGACTGTGTGCTTCAGCTAGTCTAGGGGATTCTAGGTCCCTCTTTCCTTCTTTGTTTCTATGGATTTGTGAAGAAAGATTCAGACTGCTCTCAGGTTCATTGAAATTACAAAAAATGTAAAGCATAGGTATTAAGGACTATAGAAGCTGCATTAATTATAGTAACACTGGAACCAGGATGAATAGTATTTGCCATAGGAAAAAGAGAACGAAAGAGTGGGGGAGAAATATTCAGGTATCCTAAAAAATTATTCAGTGGAAAAACGTAAAAACATTAAGATTGGTTAAGCACATGAATATGACACGGATCTAGCAACTGAGCCTATATAATATGTCTCGGAGAGTTCTCTGAAATTTGAAAAGCAAAACACGCATCTAGTTTCTTCCAAGAGGCCAACTACCTTGTCCCCTGTAGACCCCTCTCCTCGGCAGCTGAAGGCATGCAGTCAATTCCTCTGCACCTACTTCCCCGCATCGGCCCCGGCCCCGGGGCCACCCGCAGCCTCTCCACGGGAAGCGCCTGCTGGGGACCCGAGAGGCGAGGGGCCAGCGCGAGCCCGCAGCCCCAGCGCAGTGGCCGGGGAGGCCGAGGTGGGGCGGGTCACAAGGTGGGGTGGGTTGGGGCTGGGGCGGGGCGGGCGGCTCGCGGCCTTGGGCCGCCCACAGGTTGGGCTAAGCAGGTGTTGGCCTCTCCCGGCCCCGGCTGGGCGGCTCTCGAGGACTCCTGGCCGCACCTGTCCGGCGACAGCGCCCCTCCCCGAGTCCTTGCAGT